GAGACGCCTGTTAATCACAGGGTGCCTCAGCGAGTCCAAAGGAATGAGCACGGGATTATTATCTTCGTCTATGGAGTACCTAGAATAGTAATCTGCGCTGTGCACGTGCCGAGTCTGCAATTCCAAGACTAAGCATAGAGGCCCTGAGGGCGCAGTCTCTGTGTCACAATCTACATGGAACCAGACCTGCAAGGGTGCATGTCCTGCAGCACGTCCCAGCAAGCATATGTCTCCTCTATGGATCGGCCCGTACTTGGTCCACGCCGTGAGGCCTCGCCTCCTCGATTCCGCCCCCCGCGCCGCCGCCCTCGCGGCCCCCGCGCCCCCCCCTCTCGACGCTCTCCCGACCCCTCGACGACGCGCCTCGATGGCCCCCTCCCCCGCCGAACGAGCGCCCTCCCCCGACCCCCCACGCGCTACGATCTCGCCCCGCGGCGCCCGCTCGACGCCCCGATCCGATGATTGCCGATTGCGTTTTGCGGACGCACTCCTTTAGACGCCCTTGAGCTTCTTGGTGGCGGCTTACCGGGGTCGACCAAGGCGTCGTTGAGATGAGTTGAGTGCTCTGTGGTCGTATATGTTGCTGCGCCTATATTGTTTACTCCAGTAGCTGCATCATCAATGACTTCTCGGGGGTCCTCATGCACAGATGGTCCTTTGCAAACTTCTTGCAAACTTTGTGCTTCCGCTCGTGGACGAAGCAGTTCAAGGGTCCGAATTTGAAGTGCATGTCGGCAAGATGAGTTGCCATATGGTGTTTGTAAACCCAATATTTAGTCCCGTATGTGCGCGCGTGTAGCTCCAAATGCTTCATCACGGCGACATCCAGCTCACGTGCAGTCGCGAGGCCCCTGGACGAGAGAATAACCATATCAATGGCATCGCACAGTGCAAGTAAATTTGCAATATGACCCGAGATGGTGCCTGCATCAGGCAGCTTGGCAATGACTTGCCTGATGAAGTGCGCCAGCACGGGAATCATAGACAGCTCTTGCGATGCGTTTGCTTGTAGTTCGCCCTGTGCGAACACGGCATTGGCGGCATGAAACTTGTGGGGCCATGTCCAGTTTGAAAGATAGTCGTTGAGATCTTCGGCGCTGCAGAGTTTGCAAACCGCCTTGTTCTCAGTGAAAGCTTTCACTTCTTTAGCTACGATGCCATTGACGCTATAGATGTGCATCCAATCGAAGCAGAGGAGCGACATGACACCGTAGGCGAGGTTGGCGTCCATGGCAACGTGCGTCGGATGAAAGTTCCAACCCTTTAGCTGCGTGATCTCCTTCCACTTGTCGTCGCTAATCTCACCGCGGTCGTACCTCTCCCAGTCGGGGCGTAGCCTTTCCAAGATAGCAACGATCTGCGCGTCTGCGTTGACGACGCGTTTGCTTCTGTCGAGGCATGCGTCCGATATAAATGTACCAGACGTGTCGTGCGACGCATAGTCGAACTTCTGGTTGAGCACGTTCCTGCAGATGGCACGCGGTTTGGTGCCCGCGTGCCCTTTGTTCATGTGGAATTCACGGAGGGCTTCTGCGTCGCCCACAGTGCAGCCCAACCTCGCGATTATAGTCGCGTGCCTTGTGGCACCCCCTGCTTCTGACACGTCCAAGATAACTCCAGTCGTGAAAGTTCACCCCGCCAGACGTATTGAACATGAGCTCGTTGCACGTCATTGCAGCCGACTGCCCGATCCCTCCAGGCATGTCCCTCACTTTGGAAACCCGAGCGGTGCTGAGCACGAGCCATGCGTCTTCGCCCTGCAAAAACTCATCGAACTCTAGAAACGACCAGTATACAGCATCCACCCCTCGGTGGTCTTTGCCCTTGGCCAACGGGTCACGCGGTGAGATACCGTCGAAATATAAGCAGATGCGCCATGGGGATGCTAGGGAGCAAGGGTGCTTGGCGAGCTGGCGGCGCAACAGATCTCTGAACCCCTTACTCCGTTTCGCCGTCGAGTACAAGTACGGGCCAGGGGCGCACGCCCAGTTCTTGAAGCTCTTACCGCTGTTCAATGGCATATCAATGCCGACAAGCACGTCACCGTACTGGTTCGATTCGGCACCGATTAATTTCTGCCTTGCGCTGTACTGCGCATAACGCGAAATGTTACCAGGTATACCATTATCTCGTACGTACTTGAGAATGTATGTAAGACTCCGCTCAGATACATATGGCCTCTGTGTAACTCAATCAGTGCTTCGGCGTCTGTCTTGCGACGCTTCGGTGGCCCCGCCGACATGGTTTGAGCCAAAACTGCTACTGAGTGATGGTAGCATGATTGCGATATCTGCAATCGCAACAGAGGATTGTGCGACGGGTGCCCCTCGCATACGATGGAACAACGACTTGCATTTTACATTGCACCATGCAGGCATACATGAACAATGCACTCAAGCGTTATAGCACAGCGAAACAAATCGCGAGAAGTCGCGATCGGCGATGAGCAGAGCAGACAAGCGGCTACGAGCGCTCGTCTATGAACTTCATCGCCTTGGTGAAAGCCTCCTGGCGCGTGCTGCCCGTGTCCCAGCGGATGCGCCTGTCGGACCGCCCCAGGACAGCCCTGTACTGGGACTTGTTTGGCTGCGTGAGTATATACCCCGCGCGGTACTCGATCTTCGGGGCCCCCGTCAGCGGGGCCTTGGGCAGCGGCTTCGGCTTCGCCGTGGGCCTCGGCTTCGCCGAGGGCCTCCGCATGACCACCTTCATGGCCTTCTTCGGCGGGGCGCCCTTCATGACCTTCTTCGGCGGGCCCCCCTCATCGCCGGCGAGTTCGTCGCCATCGTCGTCGGCGCCCTCGACGCCATCGGCATCGCCCCCAGCAGCTGCTGGACGTTTACTCAGGGCCACGGCCTCCTTACGCTTGCGCATTGTCTTGCGAAGCGCTGCCTCCTCATCGGATAAGTCGCCGAGCGGGGCGGGCATTCCTCCCGCGGCTCGCGGGGCCGCAGGCGGGGGCGCCTCCTGTGGTGAGGGCGCATCTTGCGGTGGCGCTTTGGGCTTCGGCATCATCCCTGGCGGAGGCGACCAAGAGTGTGACGATTGGCCAGGCACCATCCCTGGCGGAGGCACCATTCCTGGATGAGCGTACATATGGTACGCGTTCATCGTCCCGTACATGGACTGGTAGGCGCCGAAGTCGCAAATGGCGGGAGGCGGGGCGGTCGGCGGCGGCGGGGCGGCGCGGTCGTCCCGCACTTGCTTGGCCGCTTGCTAGCCGCCCTTCATCAGGCGACTGCTCAGTCGCACGAAGTCGGGCTCGTCGGTGCACCAGTCCTGCCCGCGTGGCGGGCCCCCCTCGGGGTACGCGGTATAGTGCCACGATTCGCTCTCGAGGGAGTCTGGAGAATCGTATTCCCATATAGTTCTGTGTTTCCAGTCTCGTGCCTTCATGGCAGCCAGCTTCAGCTTGACCTGCACCAGAATGTCGTACCACATGTCGTTGGTAACGCCAGTGAGTTGGGACGATACCACCGCTGCGAGTTGACCCTTGCTCCCCTCGGACAGAGTGTACATACCGATCGCATGGGCCCTCTTGCACACCATGGCGATCATCGCCTTCTGCGACATGTCGCCGCTCTTTAACTTGGTCGCCTCAGACGCCGAAAGGAAGCGCGAGAATGCAGTTGCCTTCTGCCACTTCTTATCTGCGGTGCTGGTCAGCACACCCGTCTTCTGCCCGACCGCCGTGCAGATTTCTGCAATCTGATCAGGGGACCAGTCTGGGAGCGCATTGTCCCGAATTGTGCCCACCAAGAGCGTGGCGCCGTCAGTGCTGATCGTTCCGAAGGATCGCACTCTCGACAACAGCGACTGCATCTGGTTGTCGGCGCATGTCTTTGCGTCGAGTCCGCAGCCGACTTTTTTGTATGATGTCAATCAATCATATGATTGAGTTCGGCCAGCACATCACGCATCGACGTCATTGCTGCTACGCAGCAGAAAGCGATATGTAAGTTCGCAAAACTGTTTGAGCCAAACTGGTTACGGAGCCCACGACGATGACGCGTGCACGCTTGGCGATGAGGCAAAGGTCAACAGGGGTGTCGAACAAACCAACAGCGCGAGGGTTGGCAGTCCTCTCGGGGGGGTGGTAGTCCTCTCGGGGGGCGGGGGGGGGTCAGCCATCGTCGTCGCCACGGCTGGGCGCAGCTTGACAAACACTGACTTGGATGGGTCCACCCCCTTGCTCGGCATGCTAATCAGATGTAAGGCATGATTGGCGTGACCACTGATCATTTGACGTGGACCATTGCGAATCTGAACGCATCATCGCACTTGCGAAGCCTCGCCCGACACGGCCCCATCAGCGCGGCATGCGCTCTGATTTGATGCTCGCGTGCTGCTCGCACGCGTTCTCCCACTCAGCGTGGGCATCGATGCGAACACCGATCGACTCCATCCACTCGCTCTTGGCCTCCTCCATCTTCTTCTTGGCGGCCTCGAACTTCTTGAACTTCTCGAGAACCTGGGAATCGTGCGCTAAAACAAAAACACACATATACAGGGCACAGGCATTCAATGCCACCAAATTCAAATGCAATTGCAATTTCTAGTGCGGCGGCTAATGTCATTGCAATGAGTGTTTAACGTGTTTTCACACACGAGGCCACCTTCTTCGATGCACACAAGAACTCGGCCTTGCATGCTACCTTGGTGATGTTAGCGTTGGTCAGCCTGACATGTTTGTCCTCCTTCCAGTCCTGGCGAGCCTGGGCATCCATCGCGATCGTCTTGCGGGACTTGCCCATTGCCCCTCCACAACAGAAACGATAACTTGTGCAAAACCTATTGCAACTGAGCCGATAAGCCACACATCCCCCACTCCCCCCTAACAATTGACCCCAGATTTGCAATGGTTGCAACGCTGCCCCGACGAGCTCGATCCAGGCATTGTGTTCTTAGCGCATGGCGCGAAGCGCCCGCCCTCCCCGCGACAGGCACAACTCTTGGGAAACGGTGTTTACACACTCGGACCTAATTGCGCATCCAAGCACTCACGCGCCGAAGCCTAAGGCCTTGCGCCCCCGTGCCCTGTGCAAGCCCCCTGTGTCGATTACCAGCTTCCTTGCCCGATCGTGCTGCCCATGCAAGTCCACAGCGTGCTCGCGCGCTTGCAGCCAAGCGCACTCGGCGTCCTCGGCCTTTTTCTTGGCCTTCTCGCGCGCCTTGAAGCACTGCATCACCTCAAACCGAACGGGCGGGGCATGTCGGAGGGATGGTGGTGGGGGAGGGGGGGGAATAGGTGTGGCGATAGGCGTCACCGCGCCCGCCGTGAGACGCACAACCAGGCGGGGTCACGCCGACAACATCAGACACACCCCACAACCTAGCCCAGAACTATCATATCACACCGCTCTTCTAGTGTACATACACCGCACCAAACAACCATATCATATCTGCATGCATATGCAAGCATGTCCCGACAGCGCGCGGCGCGGCGACAAGGTCGCCTTGCGGTCCATCTGCTTCGCCTTCTGGAGGCTGTTGGCCTTGTGCTTGATGGCGGTGTCAAGCTGCTGGTTCCTAACCAGTATATCCTCATGGCGATGCAGGGCTCGGAGTGCTTTGATATCTTCATGCATGCGCGGCATTGTGGCTATAGGGAAGAGAGACGGGCGCGATCTGTGCCAGAACGCTGCGACGATGATCGCATCCGTCGACGATGTGCGATCGCTGTCTGAGCAGCGTGATCTCCACCGCCCCCGACCTCGTCATCATTGGTATCCTCGTCCTCATCCTCCCCGCCATCCTCCGTAGTGGGTGGGGATGTTTAACGGGTTTCAGACCTGCCCACCCTCCGGGGGTCGACCGCCCCGCCCTGAAGGGGCCGGCTATTGGGTGTCGCAATGGTTGGGCGGGGCAGAGGGAGAAACACCAGCGGTTTGGGTGTAGCTTTTTTTTTTTTTTTTTTTTGTGTTTGTCTTTTTTTTCTTTCTTTTTTTTTTTTTTTCCCCGCCTTACTTTCTCTTAAATTCTCTTTTTTATTCTTTTTTGTTTTTTTTTTTTGGTTTTTTTTTTTTTTTATCGTCTCGGCTGCTGTGGTGGTGGATCGTGGCGGAGCGGCCCCGTCGAGGATACGGCGGACCGCATGGTTGCTGATATGAACCAGCAGCTCGAGTCGGCTGATGATCATCGCCGTGTGATCGTCTCCGTGGTTGATCGTGCCCTGAAGCAGCGCGATGACTACATCAAATGGCATGATCAGATTCAGAGCAACGACGCCACGATCGAAGCTCAGAAGGCCACGATCGAGAGCCAGGCCGCCACTATCGCGAGCCAGGTCGCCACGATCGCGAACATTCGCGAGGGCCAGGACCGCGTCGCGAACCTTCGCGAGGACCATGAGGGTCGCGATTGCGGGGGTGATGGGCGGCGGTGAGACGGCGCAGCCGATGCGGATGATAAGGGCGACGGCGGCGACGGCGACGGCGGCAACGGCGACGGCGGCGGCGGCGGCGGCGACGGCGACGACGACGGCGGCGACGGCGGCGGCGGCGACGGCGACGACGTCGGCGGCGACGAAGGCGGCGGACGACGACGACGACTGCGGCGGCGACGACCACGATGCAGGACGACGACGACGACGACGGCGACGACGACGACGGCGACAACGGCGACGGCGACGACGTCGGCGGCGACGAAGGCGGCGGACGACGACGACGACTGCGGCGGCGACGACGACGATGCGGGATGACGACGACGACGGCGACGACGACGACGGCGACGACGACGGCGGACGCCGACGACGACGACGGCGAATGCAACGCCTCAGGACACCTCAGGATACCTCAGGACACCTCAGGACACCTCTGAGATGACAACACCAGGGCGCCTCAGGACACCTCAGGGCATCTCTGAGCTGACAACCCCAGGAGACCTCAGGACACCTCGGGACACCTCAGGACACCTCAGGACACCTCAGGATGCTGAGGGGGACGAGGAGGAGGATGGAACTGGAGGAGGCGGATGCGGATGAGGAGGAAGCAGGGGGAGGAGGAGGGGGAGGGGGAGGCAAAGGATGAGGAGGAGGAGGAGGAATAGGAGGAGGAAGGGATGAGAGGGAGGAGGGGGGAGGTCGATCGTTTCGCCGTCGATCGTGAGCCTCCGAAAAGTGCTCAGAGAAGCGGAGCGATCACGCTGAGCGGGAGCGACGCGTCGCTCAGCGATCGTCCAAAGGCCTCACGACCGATGCGATGAACACCTGAAGGTGGACCGAGAAGCGTCGCAGAGGGTACCACTGTCAGACGACACGCGCGTCGTCTTTGATATTCTCAAAGACGACGCGTTGTCGCCTTTGAGATTCTCAAAGGCGACGCGCGTGTCGTCTTTGAGATTCTCAAAGACGACACGTTGGCAATATTAAATCTAATAGAGATGTTGTCGTCTTTGGGATTCTCAAAGACGACACGCGTGTCGTCTTTGAGATTCTCAAAGACGACACGTTGTCGTCTTTGAGATTCTCAAAGACGACAC